AAAATATGTTTCATATATAATGTAATAAATATAATATAATGGTAAAAAAATCTGACGAATATACTTTAAAATATCTATTTTTTAAAAAATATTTCATATATTTTGAAATATATAAAAAACACATTTCAATATACAGTATATATATATTATTATTATACAGGATTTATATAGCACCAACAGTTTGCACAGCACTTTACAATATAATGGGAGACAATACAACAACAATACAGTTCAATGTAAGAGGGATAGGATATATATATATTTTTTTTTTTTAGTGAAATATATTTTGAAATATATTGAATACGGCCAAAATTGTAGTATTTCAAATATATGTCAATAGGTTTCGGAAGAATATTTTTAAAATATATTTCAAATATATTTTTCTTCCATGTTGGTGTGGTCATGCAGAAACATAGAAAAGTGCCAGCAGAAAAAGAGTGGTCCATTAAGTCTGCCCAATTTTTTTTTTGGGGGGGGGGGGGGTTGTTTTTTTTTTGTTTTGTGAGCAGGAGAGGGTGGCAACATTCCTACATACAGTGGGACCACGAACGTAGCCACTCTCTAACAGGATGTCAGATCACAGCAGGAAGAAAAAAAGAATATGGAGCTTTGGAGGAGGCTGAGATCAACAGAACAGAAGCAGACTTTCCTGCTTGTGTGATTGGCTTACTGAACTAAGATACAATCAGATTTTGGGAATCCCCTGCAACAAAAGAGTAATTTTTGGTGGGATACTTCCAAAGGGAAATCATGTCTCAGCCCTGGTTTACACTGATCCGGTGCGGAATCTGCACCGCATCAGAATCGCCTCCCGTTCATGCGAACCTCTGCGGGTGTGTATGTTAACACCCCAAAAGTGGTCTGCAAAACGCGGTGCGATGTGCAAAATTGGATCACATAGGTGTGAATACCCGTGCGATCCGATTCTGGTGCGGACCCAAAAAAAAAGGTCCTGCACCTTTTTAGTGCGGTGCCATTAGAGCCATACAAAATGTTTGGCTCCAATCGCACCGCACACAAATCGCATGTGATTCGCACAGGAATGAGGTGCGGTTCCTGTGTGAATCACATGCGATATACCGCACCGCATGAGTGTGAACCCGGGCTAAGGCTAGGTGCACACCTATGCAGGTTGCGTTTGAGCTTTTTCTGCATTGCGTTTTGCACTGCGTTTTTGCACTTGCATTTTTGTCATGTTTTTGATGATGTGTTTTGTGTGGGGGTTTTCTTTTTCTTGTTTCTAGGCAGATTTAAAACGCAAAATGCATCAAAAACGCTGTAAAAACACAGCAAAAAAGCAATACATCCTTTTCTGCAGCATATCCATTGAAGTCTATAGAGACAAAAATGCAACTTTTTTGCATTCAAAAAAGTCTTTGACCCTTTCCAAAAAACACACCGGGTGCACATGTCCCATAGGAAATCGTGTTAAATGGACGGTACTGCGTTTCTGCATTGCAGGTTGCGTTTGAGCCATTTCTGCATTGCGTTTTGCATTGCGTTTTTGCACTTGCATTTTTGCAGCGTTTTTGATGTTTTTTGCGTGGGCTTTTTTTTAATTTTAAAATTTTTCTTGTTGCTAGGCAGATTTAAAACGCAAAATGCCTCAAAAACGCTGTACAAAAACACAGCAAAAACACAATACATGCTTTTCTGCAGCATTTCCATTGAAGTCTATAGAAACAAAAAATGCAACTTTTTTGCGTTTCAAAAAAGTCTTTGACCCTTTCCAAAAAACACACCCGGTGGACATATCCCATAGGAAATCATGTTAAATGGACGGTACTGAGTTTCTGCAAAATGCTGGTGTGAACCTGGCGTAAAGGGGTGCAGACCCTGCCACTTTCCTGCTTAGAACCCTGCAAGTGCAGCAGATGACTGATAATTCTGAAACCATTCCCATTACGTTTGCTTTCCACAGACAAACCGCTAGTTCTTCAGAATAACAAAAACATAGGAATCTGCACAAAGTTTGGTAAAGTCCCTGCAATGTACATAGATCTCCCAGAGGGGAATGTTTTTTTTCTCAACAAAAGTAGAGTGACACCTTAACCACTTGCCGTCTGGCCGCTGTATATAAACAGCCAGACGGTTGCAGTGCAGGGGCGGGTTGCCGTTCATAAATGGCGCCCGCCATTCAGGACTGTGGGCACTCCCTGGGAGCGCGCAGCACTGCAATCCGGTGCCCGCTGTGTCCTCCGGACACAGTGGAACACCGATCGTTGTATGGGACCTCTGTGCGAGGTCCCGATCATGTGATCAGTGATTGGTCAATCAGTGATCACATGCAGAGCAGTAAGCAAGATGTAAGTGTAAAAAAAAAAAAAAAAAAATCTTCATCACCCCCCACAAGTAGTACAGTGTCACTATGGTAACACTGTACTGCTAGGGTGACAGTATGTAGAAAAAAACAATCTAATAATATAAAAAAATAATATAAAATGTAAAAAAATATAATTTTTGGTTATACACTAATTTGGGTTATTTTTTTTTTTACTAAAAAGATAACTGAATACATTTTGGCCAAGATTTATGATGAAATATTTTTTGCAAAATTTTATAAGAAAAACACTTTTTTCAAATTTTTTTGACTTTTTCATTTATATAGCAAAAAAAAAATAAAAATCCCAGTGGTGAATAAATACCAACAAAATACATTTTTATCTGTCTCAAAAAAATGCTTAAAAATGCATATGGGTACAGTGTTGCATGACCGCGTAATTGTCATTCAAAGTGTGATAGCGCTGAAAGCTGAAAATTGGCCTGGACTGGAAGGGGGTGAAAGTGTCCGGACTGGAAGTGGTTAAGAATACGTACTGGAATAGATTTATTTTGGGATCTAGTTAGTTATCTAGGATCGTTGTATTGGTGCATTGCAATTTATTCCAATTATGTCCAAGGATTCTTAAATCCAATTTATTCCAATTATGTCCAAGGATCCATAAATCCAATTTTATTCCAATTATGTCCAAGGATCCATAGATCCAATTTATTCCAACTATGTCCAAGGATCCATAGATCCAATTCCAATTATGTCCAAGGATCCATAAATCCAATTTATTCCAATTATGTCCAAGGATCCATAGATCCAATTTATTCCAACTATGTCCAAGGATCCATAGATCCAATTTATTCCAATTATGTCCAAGGATCCATAAATCCAATTTATTCCAATTATGTCCAAGGATCCGTAGATCCAATTTATTCCAAGGATTTATGTCCAATCGCTCGTTCTGGGTGGCAGGGTGTTGAACACTCCTTCTGGGCGGAAGGGCGTGGCTACAAGGTCACACGCACACTGCATCACTTCCACTTGCACGAAGACGTCAACACTACGTATTGCTGGCCGAACAATTTTTTTGCGATTGGTTAATGTGGGCCACGATTTCGACCACGAACGAACGCCGATCGGTCGTCGGATGACCGATTGGTCAATTTTTCTTACCGTGTATTCCTGCCATTAGAATGCAATTGTTTCTTACAATTTTGAGAAGGTGCCAATAATTTTGTTCAGTCCATTTTTGTGGGGTTTTTTTTTCTCCACTTTTTTTGTGTTATATCAAAACAAACAAAAGGAAAAAAACATGAAAATACCTAAACATTTGTAATTGCAACAAGTGGTGCGTTATCGGTGCCAATATTTTTGGCCATGACTAAAACTAACCATAGTGCATTTTTTACTGAAATGCTGCATCGTGCTAATAGCATGTGACATAAAAATCTGGAAAAAAAATCTATATTCTTTTCTAGTTTGCTTTCAGAAAATATATCATGTTTGGATGGCTTTAACCACTTACCGTCCGGCCCATGTGCATAAATGGCCGGACCGGAGCAGTGCAGGAGCAGGTGGCTGTTTATAAACGTCCTCCCGCTTCCCTGCCTGTGTGCGCTCCCTGGGAGTGCGCAGCACCGCGATCCAGTGCCTGCTGTGTCCAGAGGACACAGCAGAACACCGATCGCTGTACAGGACCTCGGTGTGAGGTCACGATCATGTGATCAATGATTGGCCAATCAGTGATCACAGTAAGATGACATCATTGACATCGTTGCTTACTACTTGTGATCTGAATGATCACAGAGATCACATGACAACAGTATTTCTTAATGGCTGAAAGAATCAGAGTTGAGAAGGAGAAATGATTTTTACAGCCTTTATACTACTTGTGAAACAGTGTCACTATGGTGAATGATCACTAGGATCACATGGTACAGGGCTATTCAAACAAGTAAAAAATGTGTACCATGTGTTATAAACTAGCTGATTTGATCAATCACAGCTAACTCACAGTATTTCTTAATGCTGAAAGATTAATGCAGCCAGAGAGAAGGAGAAATGACTTTGATTTTACAGCTTTATCCCAGGTGTGTAAAAGCAATCAGTGTAAAAAAAAATCTTCATACAGTGTTGCACCCCCCACAAGTGATAGCACTACAGTGTGGCCACTATGGTGACAGGAAGTGGTTAAGTAATCTTTAATACTAAGGCTGGCCATACATTATACAATTTTCTTGAGATTTATGGTCTAGATTTACCAAAAACCATATAATAGGAGGTCAAAACTAACAACACATTCAATTGTATCCAATTAGGCAGGCCCTTGCACTACATAGTTGAAGGTAAATCTAAAGGAAATTGGACAGAAAATTGTATAGTGTATGACCAGCCTAAAACATGTATGCAAAAAAAATTGCAAAACCAGGCTCTGTCAGTGAAAGGGTTAAGCCATACTGCACTAATAAGGAAACCTTGGGGCAGGGGCGGACTGACAACTCATAGGGCCCCCGGGAAATAGGGGATCATGGGGCCCCTGTGTCCTTGCCCAAACTCAAAAAAGCCTATGAAAAAGGTACCAGGGGCATCTCATGGGGCCCCCTACTGACCCTGGGCCCGCGGGCAGTGCCCGAGATTCCAAATGGTCAGTCCGCCCCTGCCTCGGGGTGATAGTGAGTTCTCATTTCTGGGTTTCTCATTGGCTCATGAGGACATCTTTTTCTGTATTTGTACTCAGGGAGTGAACGGGAAGAGCGTCTCCCCGCCAGAACCTGCGAAGACCTACAAGGTTGGATGGCTGAAGAAGAGCAGCGGGCTGCTGGGACTATGGAAGGATCGCTACATTCAGATACTGAAGACACAGCTCCTTGTATGTGACAATGAGGTAAGGAATCCCAAGGACACGTGGGAGGATGAACAATGGAAACAAATTACAATTGTGTCTTCTCAGGGTTCAAGAAACCTGGACTGATACATTTCCAATGTTAATATTTTTTTTAATGTATTTTGAAAACATCTACTGTCGGTAATTACAATGGTTTCCTATCATCCTCTTTATTTCCATGGAAGCTGACAATCGCTGTAGTAGTCGGAGCTATTACAGTGATCTTAGGGTCCTCTGCCGAGTGGCTGCCCTTCCTGCACAGCCAACATTCAGAAAATGACTTGTATTTTTTTTTTTAATGGATGCAAGTCGTTCTCTGATTGGACGAGGTGGATGTTGTAACATCACTTCCCCGTCTCTCCACCTCCAATCAGAGAACGTCTTGTATTAAAGTTTTGTTTAAAACCCTGGACCCTGCATTCAAATATCCGCCTGGACCCTGCATTCACTATATCCGTCTCCCCGGACCCTGCATTCACCCCGGACCCTGCATTCACTATATCCGGTCTCCCCGGACCCTGCATTCACTATATCCTCCTCCCCGGACCCTCATTCACCCGCTCTCCCCGGATCTGCATTCACTATATCCGCTGTTCCCTGGACCCTGCATTCACTATATCTGGTCTCCCCGGATCCTGCATTCACTATATCCGCTGTTCCCTGGACCCTGCATTCACTATATCTGGTCTCCCCGGACCCTGCATTCACTATATCTGGTCTCCCCAGACTCTGCATTCACTATATCTGGTCTCCACATACTCTGCATTCACTATATCTGGTCTCCACATACTCTGCATTCACTATATCTGCTCTCCCCTGTGACCCTGCATTCGCAATATCTGGTCTCCCCAGACCCTGCATTCACTATATCCAGACTCCCCGGACCCCTCATTCACTATATCCAGACTCCCCAGACCCTGCATTCACTATATCCGGTCTCCCCGGACCCTGCATTCACTATATCTGGTCTTCCCGGACCCCGCTTTCACTGTATCTGGTCTCCCCCAACCCTGCATTCACTATATCCGGGCTCCTCGGACCCTGCATTCACTATATCTGGTCTTCCCCGACCCTGCATTCACTATATCCAGTCTCCCAGGACCCTGCATTCACTGTATCTGGTCTCCCCCCGACCCTGCATTCACTATATCCGGACTCCCCGGACCCTGCATTCACTATATCCGGTCTCCCCGGTCCCTGCATTCACACTATATCCGCTCTTCCCGGACCCTGCATTCACTATATCCACTCTCCCTGGACCTACATTCACTATATCCACTCTCCCCGGACCCTGCATTCACTATATCTGGTCTCCCCAGACCCTGCATTCACTATATCCGCTCTCCCCAGACCCTGCATTCACTATATCCGCGCTCCCCAGACCCTGCATTCACTCTATCCGCTCTCCCAGTAGCCCGCATTCACTATATCCAGTCTCCCCGGACCCCGCATTCACTGTATCTGGTCTCCCCCGACCCTGCATTCACTATATCCGGACTCCCCGGACCCTGCATTCACTATATATCCGCATTCACTCCCCGGACCCTGCATTCACTATATCCGGACTCCCCGAACCCTGCATTTCACATTCCTGATATGTGCCTCCTGTACTTGTGTTAAAGTCTCCTATTCAGGGGCATCCCTAGGGTTGGTGTCACCAGGTGCAATAACACTTGGTGACACCCCCTCCGACAATCCACGCAGAATGGATCGGATCTGCGGATTGAGCATAATGGGTCAGACTCCAATCAATTATGCTCAATCCACAGATCCAATCCATTCTGCGGGGATCGTCAGCTTGCTATACGACTTACCTTTTCGTGGAGCAGGTCCGGTGTCACCCCATATAGGTTTCATGCTGACAGTCCCTGCAGGTTGATCGGATCTGCTTATTGGGGAGCATAATGGATCGGATTCCGATCCATTATGCTGAATCCACAGATCCGATCCATCCTGCAGGGATCGTAGGCTTGCTAACAACTTACCTTTTCGTGGAGTGGGTCTGGTGTCACCCCATGAGGTAGGAGTCACCCGATGTGGCGCACACCCCCTGCACCTGCCTATGAACGCCACTGCTCTTTGTATTGCTTGCTTTGTGTAAATTCCCTGGTATTTGTGTGAAATCCCAGTCCGTCTGCTTTCCTATTTTAAACTGACCATGCTAGGCATGAGAGCACATCTATTCCAGTGTAATCAGTGTTCTGGGAGCACAGCCTGTCTGTCCTACAATGACCAAGACTTGTGCTGACATACCCCTCTGCACAGCCATTTCACTGGGAAGATCAGTGTGCTGCTTTTTCTCTACCTCATGTTAACAACCCCCCCCCCCCCTTCCTGCAGTCTCCACCCATACTTCTTACGCAGGTGAGAGCAGTGGTCATGTGATCACTTAAAAGAGAAACAAAAACATTTATTTATAATTTTGTTAGATATACAAATTCAAATGTTTGCCTTGCATTTCTATTTTAAACTGAATGGGTTGTTTTCTAAGGTTCGGATTTACATGTACAGTACTATTATTATTATTATTATTATTATACAGGATTTATATACAACATTATTATTTATTACAGGATTTATATACAACATTATTATTATATTATTATTATTATACAGGATTTATATACAACATTATTATTATTATTATACAGGATTTATATACAACATTATTATATTATTATTATTATTATTATTATTATACAGGATTTATATACAACATTATTATTATTATTATTATACAGGATTTATATACAACATTATTATTATTATTATTATTATATACAGGATTTATATACATTTTATTATTATTATTCAGGATTTATATACATTATTATTATTATTATTATACAGGATTTATATACAACATTAATATTATTATACAGGATTATATACAACATTATTATTATTATTATTATACAGGATTTATATACATTATTATTATACAGGATTTATGGCGCCAACAGTTTGCTCAGCACTTTACAATATAAGGGAGACAATACAGCAACAATACAGTTCAATACAAGAGGGATAGGAGGGTCCTGATCCTGGGAGCTTACTACAATCTATTGAATGAATGCCTATAGTGCATATGAACAATCATTCAGTGAAACAAGGAAAAATTCTAATCATTCATTTATTACTAGAGAACTGTGATGTACCAAATTGTGACTTCAACATCAGTGATGGGTCCAGTCTAGCTGGGAAACTGATGGTTGAGATTTTTTATTTAGTGGTTTAAAAAAAATGCTTGAAGTGCAGATCAGCATCTTGTTACATCAAACGGTGTCGGCTTTAAACGGAGTATTTATTTATCTCCATAAACCTCAGACAGGAAACGTGTGGAGGCTCAGTAATGTCTGGAAACTGACGGAACTCTGGGTGGGTACAGGGCCTCGGCTGTCACCATCAGCCTCCTCTTCATCGGGGAATTTCAGGCACCTGCTGCCAAGGACTTTTTTTCTTGTGAAAGGAAACTTGGCAGTGCCGGGCTGGAAATAAATCTGCTTTCTGTACAGGACAGATCTGCTGGATTCATTTGGCTGACACCTGTCACTCCTATAAAACAAAAGAAAAACATGTCCGTTCCAGAGCTACTCTGAATCCAGTATATACAGTTGTGTTCAAAATAATAGCAATGTGTTGAAAAAAGTGAAAAAGCTGAAAATCCTTCTAATAGCTTTTATTTCCATCCACACAAATGCATTGGGAACAGGACACATTCTATTCCAAATCAAAACATGAAGAAAAATAGATCAAATTTGTGTTGTTCCTCTAAAAAAATTGAAGAAAAGTGAATATTAGACGGTTCAAAAAAAATCGCAGTGTTTGCATTCTTCTTTACAAACTCAAACATTCACTATATAAACTGAGAAATGTTTGAAGATTTTGCTTTCCTTTGAATGACTTCATGAATATTTGGTTGTAGTCGCACTGTTTCTGAGAACTGCTGTACATCTGTGTTGCATGGAGTCACCCAACTTCTGGCCCCTGTGATCAGGTATTCCAGCCCAGGATGATTGGACCACATTCCACAGTTCTTCTCTATTTCTTGGTTTTGCCTCAGAAACGGCATTTTTGATGTCACCCCACAAGTTTTCTATTGGATTAAGATCCGGGGATTGGGCTGGCCACTCCATAACGTCAATCTTGTTGGTCTGGAACCAAGATGTTGCACGTTTACTGGTGTGTTTGGGGTCGTTGTCTTGTTGGAACACCCATTTCAAGGGCATTTCCTCGTCAGCATAAGGGAGCATGACCTCTTCAAGTATTCTGATGTATTCAAACTGATCCATGATCCCTGGTATGCGATAAATAGGCCCAACACCGTAGTATGAGAAACATCCCCATATCATGATGCTTGCACCACCATGCTTCACTGTCTTCACAGTGTTCTGTGGCTTGAATTCAGTGTTTGGGGGTCGTCTGACAACCTGTCTCCGCCCACTAGACCCAAAAAGAACAATCTTACTTTCATCAGTCCACAAATTGTTTCGCCATTTCTCTTTAGGCCAGTCCTGCCGCCCTGTAGCAGTATTTCTGCTATAGGGCGGACGAGAAGCGGTTAAAGAAGTCTATCCTGCTTCTAACTAGTAAACTGCCATTTATTTCTTCCATCAGCTCACCCCCCCACAGTTATTACCTTTTGTATCACTCAACCCTTCCTCCTAGATTGTAAGCTATAAGGAGCCGGGCCCTCTGTTTCCTCTTGTACCAAATTGTATTGTAACTGTAATGTCCGCCTTCATTTTGTAAAGCGCTGCGCAAACTGTTTGCGCGATATAAATCCTGTATAATAATAATAATCAGTTCCTGACCTCACAAATGTGCTTGTGTTTGACACATACCAAGACATTTTGGACAATTTCATGCTCCCAACTTTGTGGGACGAGTTTGGCGATGTCCCCTTCCTGTTCCAACATGACTGAGCACCAGTGAATACAAGGAAGATCGATAAAGACATGGAGGAGCCAGTTTGGGGTGGAGGAACTTGACTGTCCTGCACAGAGTCCTGACCTCAACCCCATAGAACACCTTTGGGATGAATTAGAGTGGAGACTGTGAGCCAGGCCTCCTCCCCCGACATCAGTGCCTGACCTGACAAATGTGCTTCTGGAAGAATGGTCCAACCTTCCCATAGACACCCTCCTAAACCTTGTGGACGGCCTTCCCAGAAGAGTTGAAGCTGTTATAGCTGCAAAGGGCGGGGCCAACTCAATATTGAACCCTACGGACTAAGACTGGGAGGCCATTAAAGGTCATGTGCGTGGAAAGGGCGGGGCCAATTCAATATTGAACCCTACGGACTAAGACTGGGAGGCCATTAAAGTTCATGTGCGTGGAAAGGCCAGCGATCCCAATACCTTTTGGTAATATAGTGTACTGTATATGCGGCAACAAGACCCACTTCTTTGTGGGGCCACATATATATGTACACTTGGCAGGAATGGGTTACATTACAATATGGCTTGTGCAGCAATTGTATATGTTATATTATTATTAATAAGTCCACACTTTCATCATCCAGGGCTGGAGCCGCTTATACATTGCGTCTTGATGTAGGACTCTCCTAGGCTGTTAATCATTTTTGCTGGCCTGTGTGAAATTGATACTTGTTAAGCATTTTCTTTGATGACACCTATGAAGACGACAATTATCTTCGACTACTTTGCTGCCTCTTTCTGTCATCCCCTTTTCCTCCTTAACCTAATCTCCGGAGTTCTGATATAGCACTTAATGAAACATGGAAGAGCCTGCAGATAAAAAAGATAAACTCCGATGTGGAAAGCATCTTCTTGCCTGCAACTAATTGGTGCTCAGGGAAGATAATCAGGGAAGCTACAAAATATGATTTCCCCTTATCCAGCTTAAGACGAAAAAGAGACTTCTGTTACTTGAATCCTGTTACTGCAATGTATGAACTATATATACCCAGAAAGAAGATAATGGGAGACTTAAATGGAGGTGAAACTTAGTTTATCCCCTCATCTACCTGTGGGGGGCGTGTTATTAGCCCAGTCATGCTTGGAAATGGCTGATGAGCTTTCAATTAAAAGTACAAAAATACCTTCTGTTTCCTCCCACTTATTGTATGCTTGTTGTTTAAAGTGGAGCTTCACCGTGGATAGGAGCTCTAAGTCCCTGTCTCTGCCATGCCCTCCGCTGTCCAAACCGGGGTCTCCAAACTATAACCCATGGGCCACATCAGGCCCGTGATGAGATTTTATTTGGCCCACAGTAACTGTCCTGTAAAATACCCTTGCTGGGTGGCTGGCTGGCAGTGGATGTGCTGGTCTGTGTATCATAATATGGAGATTGGTGCATCCATTGCCGTCCAGCCAGCCATGACCCTTCTACATATGGATGTAAGGGGGGACTATGCTGGCCACTCATGGATTTAAGGAGGGGCTCCAATGGGCATGCCTTGTTTTAAGGTGGGACTCTGATGAACACTTCAGGATGTAAGGGGGGACTCAGCTGGGACACTCCTGATGTAAAGGGAGATCTGTTGGGCACTCCTGGATATAAAGGGGACTCTAATGGGCACTCCTGATGTAAAGGGGCCTCTGATGGGCACTCCTGGATGTAGGAGGGCTCTGATGGGCACTCCTGGAAGTAGGAGGGCTCTGATGGGCACTCCTGGATGTAGGAGGGTTCTGATGGGCACTCCTGGATGTAGGAGGGCTCTGATGGGCACTCCTGGAAGTAGGAGGGCTCTGATGGGCACTCCTGGATGTAGGAGGGCTCTGATGGGCACTCCTGGATTTAGGAGGCCCTCTTATGGGCACTCCTTGTTGTAGGCGGGACTCTGATGGGCACTCCTGGATGTAGGAGGGCTCTGATGGGCACTCCTGGATGTAGGAGAGCTCTGATGGGGACTCCTGGATGTACGAGGGCTCTGATGGGCACTCCTGGATGTAGGTGGGCTCTGATGGGCATTCCTGGATGTAGGAGGGCTCTGATGGGCACTCCTGGATTTAGGAGGGCCTCTTATGGGCGCTCCTTGTTGTAGGTGGGACTCTGATGGGCACTCCTGGATGTGGGGGACACCAATGGCACTCCTGGATGTGGGGGACACTGATAGGCACTCCTGGATGTAGAGGGGGACTCTGATGGGCACTTCTGGATGTAAGAAGGAACTTTTTATAAAACATATTTGTTTGGCCTGTAAATAGTAAAATTATACGTGGACCTTATACTGAAAGGATTGAAGACCCCTGATATTTTTGTGGCTTGTTCAAAATGTTTTATTTTTTTTGCTGTGGTCTCACCTCCTGAAGCCAATCATGCCTAGGCAAGAATGACGTGTCCTACCCCTGTAGCCTCCTTAGAAGCTGTAGGAACCAGGGGCGGACTGACAACTCATGGGGCCCCCGGGCAATAGGGGATCATGGGGCCCCTGTGTCCTCGCCCACACTCAAACCACACCCAAAAAAGCCTATGAAAGGTACCAGGGGCATCTCATGGGGCCCCCTACTGAACCCCGGGCCCTCGGCAGTGCCCGAGTTCCCAAATGGTCAGTCCGCCCCTGGTAGGAACCCATTCAGAGAGCGGAGGATGACCTGAGCTGGCCCACGTCAGCGAGGAACCTGGAAGAAGCAGCTGGGTTTGCAGTGACTGAGTGCACCAGGATGGTGGCATAGACTGTGACACCTGACCAGCAGATCATGGCAGGACAGCGTTGGATCCTCTGAGCAGGTGAGTATGCCTTCTGATGAGAGCCCAGTGATGCGGGTAAAGAGGAGATGGGCCAGGAGGTGGGTGAGCAAACAGAAGTCCCCCTTTAACGTCTCTTGAATTTTTCTGTCTCCGTAGGAAGATCAAAAGTGTTTGGAGACATTGGAGCTTGCCAGCTATGAACGATGTCAGGACCAAAAAGGCCTCCTAAAACGTAAAAGGCATTTCTCATTGATCCCGTCCCCGGGCGCAAAGGTAATGAATATTCAGCAAGTGAACTTTAAGGCAAAAGTAAATGCGGTAATAAAATGAAACCTGAGGGCCCGTTTCCTGACATTTCATTATGCTTGTTTATACTCTCTGGGAAATCACTAAACTATATATACATGACAGATGTTAATGTTATTCCCTTTTTTTATATAGCAGTCAAAAATGTTTGTAAATGGATTATAGATTCTTAAAAAAAAATAAAGAATGTCTTTCATAAGCGCTGAAAGCGGAGTTCTGCACCCCCCCCCCAAAAAAAAAATTAAAATTAAAAGTGAGCAGCTACAATTACTGTAGCTGATGACTTTTAATATTAGGGCACTTACCTGTGTAGCGATCCAGCGGTGTCCTCACCCTGAGCATCCTGGGTGCTGGCGCCGCCATCTTGACTAAGGGAAACCAGCAGTGAAGCCCTGAAGCTTCACAGTCCGTTTTCTACTGCGCATGTGCGAAGCCTGCTGCAATTTGTAAATGGGCCGCTGTCCTCTGGGACCTGTGCAGTGTCTCAGAGGGCTGCATGGGGGAGGGGGTTGCAAACTCCGACTGAAGTGGGAGTGGGTTCCTGTCAAAACCAGGTACCTGTTCCCCCCTCCCTCCCAAAAGTTACCAAATATGGCAGCAGAGGTGGGGAGAAGGCAGATAAGCGCAGCCTCCACTTTTGGGTGGAACTCTGCCTTTAAAAAAGTAGTTAGTGCTGTGCTAATGAAACCTTATGTAGCACCCTCCTAGGTAGCTAGAGGGAGCTAGATTTTAATTCCCAGTTAGAAGGTCTGAGTAACAGCTCAGGTGTAATAGTCAGGAGGTCAAAATTTTGGTCAGGGGCTCTTCAGGCCAGCTTTCTAAGACTTCTCCCTGCACTAGAACTTTGGAGAAAAGTTCAAGAAGCAATGGGTGGAGGTAAGGATTGGCTGGTCTGCAGGGATTCTGCCCAATCCCCAATGGGAGGCTTTGCAGGAGGTCAGGACAGCCCTTAAGAGTGTTTTAGCCTGCTCAGCAGCAGGAGAGTTCAGGTGGAAGATGGAGAGGAAGTGAGAGGCTTGAGATCAGGAACCTGGGAAGGGGCCCTGATGGAGAGGGGCTCACCTACAGGCAGAGGATCTTGGAAGGAAGAAAGCTTGAGACTTCGCTGGCCCCCAGAGCAAGGACCATCTATGTAGCAGGGAGGGAGCTGCCCAGCAGAAAGCATGAAAGCAGCCACTGACCCAGCAGCAGCTCAGGAGAAGGACTGAGTGAGTAGACCTGCACCCCCTGGGTCAGTAAAGGGAAGGAGCACTCTTGTGGTAATCTGGATTACCTGATATCCAGGACTGTTTCACACTGCAGTGGCAGGCACTGGATCCCCTGCCCAGGGATTCACCCAGTACAGCTGGAAGAGGAGGGGATTCATGTGGGGTCTGGGGTGGTACACCAGGAGATGCTGGCTAGTTCTCCAGAAAATATTTTTTGCTGTCTGAAGAGACTTGTATACAGTTCCAGGGAGGTTGTCCTCACTGTCTATTCCCTTTGGGCATCCCATACACCCCTTACACCATCCAAGATATATACCCCCCTAATAAAATCCCCCCCCCTCTAAAAAAAAAAAACAAGCTCAGGGACTGGTTACTGTCTCCTGGATGCAAGTGTGCATGGAAAATGTGTATTGCCTGGCTGTGCAGGACTATAGAGGGCTCTGAAGAAGGGAGTAAACATCATCTCCCGAAATGCGTCAGTTAACCACATCCAGGGTCGCCTGGAATTTGGGACCGATCCCACTAGCTCTTTGTCTCCGTTTTTATATCTCCTTGGTTTGTGAGTATGCACTTTTAGCATTTTAATAAACTCGTATTTCACCACTGTAATGCACGAAGAGCGTGCGCCCTGTTTTTTTGTTTCTTCATCAGGGGAATCAAAAACTTCAGCGATCACTATGGGGGTAGTGCTACACTTAAATTACATGCCCCCCCCCCAGTCTACCATATAAGGTGACTGTAAATATATGTGACTAAGTATATTACACACAAAACTGCGTAAACATGGACCAAAATCAAACAATATGCAATTAAATGTTACTAAACCCACAGTAGTAAAATCAGTCTGTAGATGTAGTAAAGCATTGTAAATACACTGTGGAACCTAAGGGGTTAATCCTCTGTATTGAGCCTGGTGTACAGGCAGGTAGGTAGGTTTAATGCAGAAAAGAGAAAGCATTAAAAATTCTGCCTGTCCACCCATTTTTTAATTTCATACCTAAAGTTCCACTTTATTGCTAGTCCATAAAAAAAGTTCACAAGTATTGCCAAAATGCACCGCAACCACATTACAAGTGTACACTCACCGGCCACTTTATTAGGTCCACCTTGCTAGTTCCGGATTGGGCCCCCTTTTGCCTTCAGAACTGCCTTCATTCTTCATGGAATAGATTCAACAAGGTGTTGGAAACATTCCGCAGAGATTTTGGTCGATATTGACATGAGAGCATCACACAGTTGCGGCAGATTTGTCGGCTGCACCTCCATGATGCGAATCTCCCGTTCCACCACATCCCAAAGGTGAATGAGGAAAGAACAAACAGAGGGCGCCCAGGCCTAGTGCATTACCATAAAAAATGTTTAATAAGAAATAAAATAGGTGTTGTACTCACAAACGAGAATAAAGTCAAGGCACATCATAAAAGAACAGCTGGGTCAACACCGCGCTGAGTAACAGTCCGCAATGGGGAGTGTAGACATCCAATAGTCTGACGCGTTTCGAGGACTTGCCTCTTCCTCAGAGCCACTGTGGCAAGTCCTCAAAACGCATCAGCCTATTGGATGTCTACACTCCCCATTGCGGACTGTTATTCAGCGCGGTGTTGACCCAGCTGTTCTTTTATGATGTGCCTTGACTTTATTCTTGTTTGTGATTACAACACCTATTTTATTTCTTATTAAACATTTTTTATGGTAATGCACTAGGCCTGGGCGCCCTCTCTTTGTTCTTTCCTCATTCACCTTTGGGATGTGGTGGAACGGGAGATTCACATCATATATTTGGATTCCCCCGGTCCATTTGAGGGCAGCAAGGTGTGCATGTTCCAGGACATTCTTAATGTGGTTGTAGCCTGCATCGAGTCCATCCCCAAGCGCAGGAGCATTTGTGTTTGCTGCACATCCCAAAGGTGCTCTATTGGATGGAGATCTGGTGACTGTGAAGGCCATTGGAGTGCAGTGACCTCATTGTCACATTCAAGAAACCAGGTGGAGATGATTTAAGATTTGTGACATGCAGGGCCAGTGCTAGACTATTTTGCACCCTAGGCAAGACCAGCTCCAACCCCCCCCCCCCAAAAAAAAAAACCTTCACCTGTAGTTCTTCACCCTCCTAGCACACATACTCTTTCCCCTAGCACACATTCTATTTCTACCCTAGCACAAATCCTGTCCCCCAGATCCCCCTCCTAACATAAATCCCCCCAATTCTGCCTCCTAACACAAATACCCCTAAATACCTCCTCCTAACACAACCCCCTCCAAATTACCCTTCCCAGTACAAATCCCCCCCCCAGCACAACCCATCCCAATCCTATCTCTGCAATGATTGCTCATCTCTTGGCAGCTGGGAGCCAGTGAATGAATCAAGCACTGAAGGTGATGTAAGAGCGATCCTGTGTCATCTTCCTTATGGGGGATCGCTCCACTGACAGGAGAGGAGAGCACAGCCCGCACCACCCAGCTCTCTCCTATCATTTCTCCTTTGCAGGCTTCACTGCTCCAGGCTGCTGCTGTCCCCTTGTACCAGCCATAAGTGCAGGAATGGGGGAAGGCACCTAGCAGTCAGGCACAGTGTCCATGGAAAGACCGTCCTGGGGGGCACAAACTGAAGCCTGGGGGGGGGGCTTAGCCCACCCTATCACCCCCCTAGATCTGGCCATGGTGGAGAGTAGGAAAACCAGCAGCTGCCTAGTTTGCCTAGTGGTAGCACTGGCCCTGGTGACACGGGGCATTATCCTGTTGGAAGGAGCCATCAGAAGATGGGGACATTGATGGGATGGACATGGTCGGCAATAATACTCAGGTAGGCCGTGGTGTTTAAATGATGCTCAATTGGTACTAAGGGCCTACAAAGATACAAGGCAGGATGGATCCATGCTTTCATGTTGTTTACGACAAATTCTGGCCCTTCCATCTGAATGTTGCAGCTGAAATCGAGACTCACCAGACCAGATGTTTTTCCAATCTTCTATTGTCCAATTTTGGTGGACCTGTACGAATTGTAGCCTCCGTTTCCTGTTAGCTGGCAGGAGTGGCACCCGCTGTGGTCTTCTGCTGCTGTAGCCTATCTGCTTCAAGCTTTGACGTTTGGTGCATTCAGAGATGGTATTCTGCATACCTTGGTTGTTATTTGAGTTACTGTTTCCTTTCTATCATCTCCAACCAGTCTGTCCATTCTCCTCTGACCTCTGACATCAACAAGGCATTTTCCACCACACAACTGCCACTCGCTGGATATTTTCTCTTTTTTGGACCATTCTCTGTAAACCCTAGAGAGGGTGGAATATGTAACATGTTCCCAAATGTGAACATATCCATTAGTTTCCCTTTCTTCTCCAATCTGATGCTCGAGTTGAACTTCAAGTCGTCTTTGCACGTCTAGATGCCTAAATGCCTTGAGTTGCTACAATGTGATTGGCTGTTTAGCAATTTGTGTTACCAAGCAATAGAACAGGTGGACCTAATAAAGTGGCCGGTGAGTGTATATAATGCAGGCCATAGATGGGGAGAAGACCGGCCGATTTTTCTTTCAAAAAACGAAAAATCGGTCGTTTAAAGCGGTCGACGTTACCAGGAATGGTAAAAAAAAAAAAAAATCGGCCGATTTTCATCCCGTCTTCAGCCGGCAAAAGTGTCCCTGCAGAGAGCTCCGCTATTTCTTTGACAGTGCTTTGACATTTATAGCGGCTGCAACAATGTATCTATTTGTATCCATTTCGGATACAGATGTTTTTATTCGGAAACAAATAGATACATTGTTGCAACCCGCTATAAATGTCAAAGCACTGTCAAAGAAATAGCGGAGCTCTCTGCAGGGACACTTTTTGCCGGAATGGAATTCTTCTTCTTCTTCATCCTCTTCTTCATCCTCTTCTTCTTCTTCATCTTCTTCATCCTCTTCTTCTTCTTCTCTTCTTCATCCTCTTCTTCTTCCTCTTCTTCTTCTTCATCCTCTTCATCAACTTCTTCCTCTTCTTCTTCATCATCCTCTTTCTTTCTTCATCATCCTATTCTTCTTCTTCATCCTCTTCTTCTTCTTCATCCTCTTCTTCTTCTTCATCCTCTTCTTCTTTTTCTTCTTCTTTTTGTCTTCCTCTTGCAGGTCACTGCCCATGCGCAGATATTTTATCGGTAAAAAGATCGGCCGATTTGCCCATAATTGCTGCGAAAATCGGCCGATCGGCAAAATCGGCCGATCTTTTTCCAACTTTACAGATAAAAAAAATCTGCCAAAATACTGAAAAACGGGCCGAACAATTAACCCCACAAACGATCCGAAAAATCGGCCGATTTTCAACCCATCTATGGCCTGCATTTGGCTAGGTTCACACCTATGCAGTTTTGTGTTTTATCTGTTTCTACAGTGTGCATTTGGCACATGCATTTTTAAAAAAAATTCTTGTTGCTAGACAGATCAAAACGCAGCAAAAACGCACTGCAGAAACAGGTGAAACACAAACTGCATATGTGTGAACCTAGCCTTATTTGTCACGTTTTTGATGCGTTTTGTGTTTATTTTCCTTTTTTTTTCTTGCTGCTAGGCAGATTTAAAATGCAAAACACGTCAAAAAACACACTACAGCCTTTTCTGCAGAGTCTATAGAACCAAAAATGCAACTTTTTGCGTTTAAAAAAGTCCCTGACCCTTTCCAAAAAAACGCACCGGGTGAAAACGCGAAGATGTGAACTTGTCCGATAGGAAATCATGTTAAATGGACTGTACTGCATTTTTGCAAAATGCTGCGGAAAACGCTTAGGTGTGAACCTGGACTAAATGTACAAGCGAAGCTGTACACCGAATGCTGGGATTGTGGAGTTAAAGACCCCCTACTTGTATTTATTCTTGTTCCTTTGATTATAATTTTTTTTTTTTAATTATGCACAAGTGGCATTGCAGGAAATATTTCCTTTTGTCATCTTTGTATCTGCTTGTATACATTTCCAGTACGCCTAATGAAGGAAGCAGATTAATGCTGTTATTGTAAAGTGTGACTGATAGTGATGTCATATAAACTCTACAAAACAAGGCCCATTGCCAGCAGTGGACGGGGAAATTCAGATGTGAAGCAATCGCGAGCTGCGCCTTTTTTTTTGGAAACCGTGTCACAAGAATTCAGTAGCTAATGCTTGTAAACAGCTTCTTCCTCCCATCTGCATTCGGTCATTTCATCCTTTGATAAATGCACATGCTCAGTCATGTTGTTATGTCCTAGGTGCAAGAAGCCAAATTTCAGGCCAAAAGTGCTGAGGAACGAGACATATGGATGCAAGCCCTGAACGACGGCATAAACCGGAAAAAAAACAAGGTCCTCGATGAGGTATGGGCTGTTCACACTGGTTGGGTAGAGAGTAGAGAACTGCCCTGGGTTCAGTTTAACCACTTGCCACCCACATATGATGTCCTGGACTTTCAGTGGTTATACCTAGGGGCGGACTGACCATTTGGAAACTCAGGCCCAGGGTCAGTAGAGGGCCCCATGAGATGCCCCTGGTACCTTTTTCATAGTCTTTTTTGAGTTTGGGCAAGGACACAGGGGCCCCATGATCCCCTATTGCCCGGGGGGCCCCATGAGTTGTCAGTCCGCTCCTGGTTATACCGGAATGATGCCTGCAGCTGCAGGCATCATCCAGGTATCAAAATTTTTGGCCGGAGGTGCGCTTTTATGTAAAGGCGAACCTAGCGGCTTAATAGCCACTGGATCACTTTTACATGCGGCCTTGTGGTGCCTTCCCAGGTTCCCACCGCCTTCCCGTATCCTGATGAAACAGGGAGCCCGGGACTGAAGCCAGCAGTCCCAGTCAGCTTACCATAGAGATGACCAAGGAGCGGAACGTTCCCAATCATCTATATGGTATAAAAAAAATGGAAATGGCAAAGTTTTTGTCACCAGCATGTAAACAAGCCATTACTGGCTTGTGAAAGCATCTGATGAAACTGATCTTGTGGGTTTGATCAGATTCTTTTAAAGTGGTTCTAAAGGCTCAAGGTTTTTTACCTTCATGCATTCTCTGCATGAAGGTAAAAAAAACCTCTGTGCACTAGCCCCCCTAATACTCACCTAAGCCCCCCTCTCGATCCAGCAATGTGCCCTGGAGTCTCGGCTATCCCAGGACTCCCTCTCCTCATTGGCTGAGACAGCAGCGGGAGCCATGCTGTCAATCACAGCCAGTAAGCCAATGAGAAGAGAGGGGCAGGACCAAGCCAAGTGAATGGACACATTGAGCAGCGGGTGCCCCCATAGCAAGCCGCTTGCTGTGGGGGCACTCAACAGGAGGGAGGGGCCAGGAGTGCTGGCTGGGGACCCAAGAACAGGAAGATCTGAGCTGCTTTGTGAAGAAAACCCCAGCAGAAAGCAGGTAAGTATGTGTTTGTTATTTATAAAAAAACAAAAAAAACAAAAATAAATTAAGACTGGAATATCATTTTGAGGGGAGATCTGGGGTCTAATAGAGATCTGGGGTCTCCATGATGAGCTCCAGCTATCACAAGGGATATCCCTTGTGATAGCACTAAAAAGTGATATAAAAAAAAAAGTAGAGACAGTTTAAAAATAAATAAATAATAAAATAAAATATATAAATAATAAAATAAAAAATAAAAAGCCCCCGTACCCCCCTGCCTGTGCGCAAAGGAAAACTCATAACTAAGTCCCGCACGCATATGTAAACAGTGTTTGCAACACACATGTCCAGGGCCAGTTCTCACTAGATGTGGATCAGTTGCTTTTTTTTTCTGCATCCAAAACGCACAGAAAGTAGGTTATATGGTTGTAAGTGTCATAGTTCACATCAGTGTTTGCAGTTCCAGTGCATTCTGGTTGCAGAAAAAAAGGAGAACAGGCTGCACAGAACTGTACTGGAACATGGTAAAACGCAATATAAAAGCACTGGAACGCACCAAAATGCACCAAAAACACACTGGAACGCACATGTCCCTATTTAAATTGAAGAGAAAAAAATTGGGGAAAAAATGAATTGGAATGCATCAAAAAACACACTGGAACTCATGAAAAATGCACTGGAACGCTCATTTCCCTACTTAAATTGAAGGAAAAAGAGGAGAAAAATGAACTGGAATGCATGAAAATGCACTGGACCGCATCAAAAACTCGCATGCGGAAACGCATCCGGAACGCATCTGGACTGCATTTCTACAGTGTGAACCGCCCCTTAAAGAAGCCGGCAATGAATGTAATTTACTGGCCATTTAAACTGTATATTTTCTCTTTGTAAATGTCTCTTTGACTGTAGAATATCTTACAGCAAAAATGAAAAAACAAACAGGCTGCCTGAGGAAGGAGTGCACGCTCCGCAAAGCGTTGTCACATCCATCCGTCACATCGGGACGTGAGGTCGCATGCACCTGTTCTCTGCATTCCACACTGACCAGGAGCCCTGGAAGCCTCCGGACGGCCTGTCAGTAGGACCATAGCAGCCGTTCCATCTGGACCGGGACTTACATGCTTGGTTTCACCTGTGTTTCTGAGTGCATTTTAATCCTCGACCATTAAAGCTTTTTTCTTACTTACTACACTTAGGTGGCGCTTGTCCCTTTTCCTCCTCTCTTTGTCTTCCAGAGTTGCTTCTTGCTCTGTGGACCAGGCTGTGTCTGAGTGGACTATTGGTCACTGACCTACATGGACTGGACTATTATCATCTAGGACAGTGGTGGGCAACTGCGGCCCTCCAGCTGTCATGGAACTACATGAAAAAGAGAGGAAAGCGCCTCTATGGCAGTATTGACCTCTAATTTGGAAACTCGGGCACTGTAGGGCCCGGGGTTGATGAGATGCCCCTGGTACCTTTTTCATAGGCTTTTTTGAGTTTGGGCAAGGACACAGGGGCCCCATGATCCTCTATTGCCCGGGAGGGCCCCATAAGTTGTCAGTTCCGCCCCAGGTATTGACATTTATTCAGTAAACGGGAAAATTTAAAAAGATAAACGATTAAAAAGACATTGTGTGGTAATTGGATCCAGGTGGGACATCCAGCCGTCCAGCAGCAAACTATGTCTATAGGATCAGGAAGTAGAGTCCAGGATGTGCCTGTGCATCAAAAATGAAGCTTGGAAAGCAGAGTCAGATGTAGCAGGTGAAGGGGGCGGTAATGCATTTCAGAGCATGCTCAATAGGCTCCTTCTTCAGACCTCAGCAGCTGGAGTGCCACAGTTTGCCCACCCCTGATCTAGGACTATTCTACCCAGTGGACTTATAACCTTTGCTGCCACTTCATTGTGCCAAATATTTTCTCCTTACAGAGGAGCAAAGTAGACATGTATAGTTGCAAACTGAAATTCAGACAAATATTTCTTTATTTGGAGATTCGGATGTATCCGAATTTCCAAAATTACAATAGTGATGAATTTAAACGAATCCGAAATGGCAAAACAACATTTTGGCCAAAATTCGAATAGAGTTTGACCCGGATTGAATTTTAATCAAAATCTAATTCGAATCAAAATCTAATTCGACTCAAAATTGAACCGAAATTTTAACCAAAATCGAACTGAAATCAAAAACAAGAATAGAATAAAATAGAATATAAAGAAATAGAATAGAGTAAAACAGAACAGAATAGAAAATAAAAGAATAAAATAGAATAGAAAATAAAGGAATAGAAATGAAAAAAAAAAAGAATAGAATAGAAAATATTAGAATAGAAAAAAAACAATAGAATAAAAGAGAATATAACCATCTTCAGAAATTAAAATTTTGAATAGAATAAAACTGAACACATAAGATTAGAATAGAAAAGAATAGAATAAAAAAACAAGAATAGAATAAAATAGAATATAACCGTCTTCTGAAATTCAAATTTTAAATAGAATAAGTTTGAATGTCGATACAATATTTTTGATTCGGTTTAATTGAGTACAATTTGACCGAATTCTGAAAATGTAAATCGAATTAAAAAACAAACAAAACAAATTCCAAAAATGAATTTAACTAAACAAAATCATTTAAGCAATTATTATTATTATTATTTCAGGTTCTTATATAGCGCCATCAATTTATGCCGCGCTTTACATATATGTTGTATTCACATCAGTCCCTAACCCTCAGGGGTGTACCCATCAGGTCCCTAACCCCCAAGGGGCGTACAATCTAAACAATGAAACAAAACTCATTTTTTTCGTTCTGCTCCTGTCTAGAGCCAAGTCAGTGGAATAGGAGAAGGTCCACTTTAACAATGTGTGCAAAAAAAAAATGCAAAAACAGCTCTGACCGCAAAAAGGGTTAAATCCCAAGGGAAATGTATTAAAATTCAGCAACTGTGTCCTGGGGAGGGTATAAAGGTGCTAAAAAAGAGCAGATGGTGGGAGTGAAAGCCAGAAGTACATGGGGTGGGTGCTGGCTCTTTATTTAGAAGTATGGTAGTAAAGTCTTGCACTGTTCTCATAATCTCTTGAGGGATTTGTAGCTATTGGAAGGACCACATAGGATCCAAATGGTCCAGGTCTGTAGGAAGCCCACAGAAGAGAGTCATTGATTTATACTGAGCAGCAGTAAAAAAAGCTGAAGCAGTAGTTTAACCGGTAAAGATGGTGACCAACCAAGGGCGGACTGACCATTTGGAAACTCGGGCACTGCCCGAGGGCCCGGGGTCAGTAGGGGGCCCCATGACATGCCCCTGGTACCTTTTTCATAGGCTTTTTTGAGTTTAGGCAAGGACACAGGGGCCCCATGATCCCCTATTGCCCGGGGGCCCCATGAGTTGTCAGTCTGCCCCTGTGACCAACATTAACATGACCTAATGCAGACTTGTATATCTTTTTGGGTAGGTGACGGTAGACACTTCATGCTCTTTGGAACATGTGACCCGGCACAGAGTTAAAGTCGGAGCAGCAAAGAGAAGACCCCCAACCAGGATCCACCTCAAAGAGGTATGCAATTGAAAGCAAATATAGACTGAAAGATCTTTGAGTCCATGTTGCCATATCTGCAGAGGTAGTCAATTGGTCATACTGTCAGAAGTGAACCAATATCCTTCAAGCGCCCATGTGGAAGCCATAAAGCCAGACCCAGGCATGTATGGAGATCTCACTCCTAGAGATAATATATTGCTTAGTGGTAATGGTAGCATGGGGTTCCCCCCAAACAAGTAATGTATTTTCTCCAGGAATCGATTCTTCAAATATTTAGACATTTTCCAGTAAAAAGGCTGCATTCAAAGGCATCATTAGTCCTTGGGGGGGCTGGGGAAAAAAAAGCCTATTCGTATGCCAGATAAGTGGGCCTGGCTGAGGATGCCATGGTTATGACTGCTTTTCTTAGACTACCAGTATCAGGATTAACAGACTTGTAATTTATTGGTGTAGCACATACCCCAGACCTGTGTAGCACATACCCCAGACCTGTGTAGCACATACCCCAGACCTGTGTAGCACATACCCCAGACCTGTGTAGCACATACCCCGACCTGTGTAGCACATACCCCAGACCGACCTTGTCTCAGGTTCTATTCCTTATTAGGTGTTTGGCAGTCAGGCACACAGCAGCTCCACAGTGACTCTATACAAAAAGCAAATAGCGAGTGTCTTTTTGAAGTTTAATGTTGGTGGCGGTGTTGGATGATCCTTGGGATGCTTCAAATTTAGTGCAACGTACAACAAAAGACACTCTGATTATAAGTAGACTCTTCAGGGTGAATCCCCTTATGACTAGTGGTAGATGGACATACAACCCAGGGGACTCAAATTATAGAAGCAGCCCTAAACCAGCAACTCTGGAATAGTCTCTCCATGGATTAAACACCAACAGTCACTAGGGTCTCTCTCCCAGGCCTCTACTGACTGTGTCCCTGGGTACAAGAATACCTCCTTCCAGTACCAGCTAGACCCTGTACCGTGAACCTCCAGGCCAGATCCTCAATGAACTTCCACCAAACTCTTCTCAACAACTATAGAGATAGGCCTCCCTGCCCTCCCTGAGCTGGGACCTCAATGAAACTCCTGAAGTCTTCAGCCAACGTGCCCAGAAAGGCAGCAGCACTTCAGGCTGGGACTTCTTCTCCAGGACAAGGACCCTGCTGTTTCAGACCCAAGACTATTTCTACACACCCCAGCCCCCTACTGGTCATTCTTTACCCAGGGATTGGCTGAAGCTATTCAATTATGCAGGGCCAGGGTCAACCCACTTCATTATAGAAACACACTAGAATGCAAAGGAAGCAGTTGAGCCTATTACCAGCAGAACCCAGAACAGCCAAAAGAATTCACTCTGCTCCCCTGGCTACAGAGGAGCCAACAACTATATTTATCTTGTTCCTACTAGCAACCTAACTAGGAGGGCACTACATTGGCAAGAAGGCAGAAGATAAGACTGTGAAAGAGTGCTGTTAGCAAGTAAATAATACCTGATGAGGACCCTCTATAACTTATGACCCTCTATTTTAGGGTTTTTTTTTTATTTTTTTTTTAGGTTTTTTTCAGGTTTGCTGTGTGAATGTGTTTGCACATCCATCACAGATAATCCCCATAAAGTGTCTAATATGATCATTTTCTCGGGTAGCCCCATCTAGTGGCCATATTGTGGTATTTTCCTGGTTGCGGTATTTCAGGAAAATACTGCATTATGGCCAATAGATGGAGCTGACAATAATAAAAAAATAAGCATATAAGAAACAGTTCAGTGATTATTCATGACAGTGGTGATCAAATACCACCAAAATGAAGCTCTATTTGTATGGAAAAAAATTTATTTGGATACAGTGTTGCATGCCCGAGCAATCCAGTTAAAGTAGCGGAGTGCCGAATAGCATAACATGGCTTGGTCATACAGGGGGTAAAACCTTTTAGAGGACAAATAGTTAAAATGGATTCCTGGAGATATATATACAGTGAAGTAAATAAGTATTTGACCCCTACTGATTTTGAATGTTTGCCCACTCACAAAGAAATAATCGGTCTAAAAATCAAATGTTTGGTGTATTGTAACACTGAGAGACAGAATAGCAACAAAAAATTCTAAAGAAATGCATGTCTAACAAATGATGCACTGATTTGCATGTTCATGAGGGAAATAAGGATTTGATCCCCTATTATTCAGCAGGATTTCTGGCTACCAGGTGTCTTTCATACAGGTAACAAGCTGAGATTAGAAGCAGTCTCTTAAAGGGAGTGCTGCTAATCTCATTGTGTTACCTGTATAAAAGACACCTGTCCACAGGAGCAATCAAACCATCAGATTCCAAACTCTCCACCATGGCAAAGACCAAAGAGCTGTCCAAGGATGTCAGGGACAAGATTGTAGACCTACACAAGGCTGGACTGGGCTACCAAACTCTCGCCAAGCAGCTTAGTGAGAAGGTGACAACAGTTGGTGCAATCATTTGCAAAAGGAAGAAACACAAAACAAGTGTCAGTCTCCCTAGGTCTGGTGCACCATGCAAGATCTCACCTCGTCGTGGAGTGTCAATGATCATGAGAACAGTGAGGAATCATCCCAGAACTACACGTGAGGATCTTGTCAATGATCTCCAGGCAGCTGGGACCACAGTCACCAAGAAAACAATTGATACCACACTACGCCGACAAGGACTGAAATCCTGCAGTGCCCGCAAGGTCCCTCTGCTCAAGAAAGCACATGTCCAGGCCTGTCTGAAGTTTGCCACTGAACATCTGAATGATGCAGAGGAGGACTGGTTGAAAGTGTTGTGGTCAGATGAGACCAAAATCGAGCTTTTTGGCATCAACTCAACTAGCCGTGTTTGGAGGAGGAGGAATGCTGTCTATGACCCAAAGAACACCATCCCAACTGTCAAACATGGTGGTGGAAACATTCTGCTTTGGGGGTGTTTTACTGCTAAGGGGGGACAGGACAACTGCACCGCATCAAAGGGACAATGGATGGGGCAATGTACCATCAAATCTTGGGTGAGGACCTTCTTCCCTCAGCCAGGGCATTGAAAATGGGTCGTGGATGGGTGTTCCAGCATGACAATGACCCAAAACACACGGCCAAGGCAACAAAGGAGTGGCTCAAGAAGAAGCACATTAAGGTCCTGGAGTGGCCTAGCCAGTCTCCAGACCTTAATCCAATTGAAAATATATGGAGGGAGCTGAAAGTTCGAGTTGCCAAACGTCAGCCACCAAACCTTAAAGACTTGGAGAGGATCTGCCAAGAGGAGTGGGCCAAAATCCCTTCTGAGATGTGTGCAAACCTGGTGGCCAACTACAGGAAACGCCTGACCTCTGTGATTGCCAACAAGGGATTTGCCACCAAGTACTAAGTCATGTTTTGTGAATGGGATCAAATACTTATTTCCCCCATAAACATGCAAATCAGTGCATAATTTGTTAGACATGCACTTCTTTTGAATTTTTTGTTGCCATTCTGTCTCTCAGTGTTACAATACACCGAACATTTGATTTTTAGACCGATCATTTCTTTGTGAGTGGGCAAACATTCAAAATCAGCAGGGAATCAAATATTTATTTCCTACACTGTGTGTGTGTGTGTGTGTGTGTGTGTGTATGTATATATATATATAATATATATATATATACAGGGCTTTTTTTCTCAGAGGAAAGGTGGTGGAACCCCCACCCAAACCTGGCCACGCCCCCATCAAACCCTAGGACCACCCCTTTAGAGAACAGGAATGCAAGTAAAATTTGGGAGGGGCTATAAAAGTAAATGTATGGAATTAACACCGCCCCCCCCCCCCCCCACATTAGTAAGAATAGCGAGTAACACTGCCCCCCCCCACATTAGCAAGAAAAGCGAGAAAAATTGTATCGCCGCTCCTTACCTGATGCTGACGATCCGCGCTATGGTAGGATCGACGAGCAGAGGGCGTGATGACGTCAGCGCGCACCGCCGGGTGTACTAAGATACACCTTTCCTATGGGGGTGGGCCGCGCGCCCCCGATGTTTACACGCTGGCGGTAGAGGGGGGGGGGTGAAGCGTGCATGTCCCCCGCTCACCGGCTGTGAGCAGCGGCAGTGACAGGTGCCGGGCACGCGCAAGCATGACATAAACAAGCCGCGTCCGGCACCTGTCACTTTCGCTGCTCTGCATAGCTTGTCAGCTCTGCAGAGGCAGTCGGTGAGCGGGGACAAGAAGAAAAAAAGGTGGCGGAACGCAGTACCGCCGCGTTCCGGCAGAAAGAAAGCCCTGTATATATATATATATATATATACAGTCAGGTCCATTAATATTGGGACATCGACACAATTCTAACATTTGTGGCTATATACACCACCACAATGGATTTGAAATGAAACAAACAAGATGTGCTTTAACTGCAGACTGTCAGCTTTAATTTGAGGGTATTTACATCCAAATCAGGTGAACGGTGTAGGAATTACAACAGTTTGCATATGTGTCTCCCACTTGTTAAGGGACCAAAAGTAATGGGACAATTGGCTTCTCAGCTGTTCCATGGTCAGGTGTGTGTTATTCCCTCATTATCCCAATTACAATGAGCAAATAAAAGGTCCAGAGTTCATTTCATGTGTGCTATTTGCATTTGGAATCTGTTACTGTCAACTCTCAAGATGAGATCCAAAGAGCTGTCACTATCAGTGAAGCAAGCCATCATTAGGCTGAAAAAAACAAAACAAACCCATCAGAGAGATAGCAAAAACATTAGGCGTGGCCAAAAACAACTGTTTGGAACATTCTTAAAAAGAACGAACGTACCGTGAGCTCAGCAACACCAAAAGACCCGGAAGACCACGGAAAACAATTGTGGTGGATGACCGAAGAATCTTTCCCTGGTGAAGAAAACACCCCTTCATAACAGTTGGCCAGATCAAGAACACTCTCCAGGAGGTAGGTGTATGTGTGTCAAAGTCAACAATCAAGAGAAGACTTCACCAGAGTGAATACAGAGGGTTCACCACAAGATGTAAACCATTGGTGAGCCTCAAAAACAGGAAGGCCAGATTAGAGTTTGCCAAACGACATCTAAAAAAGCCTTCACAGTTCTGGAACAACATCCTATGGACAGATGAGACCGACATCAACTTGTACCAGAGTGATGGGAAGAGAAGAGTATGGAGAAGGAAAGGAACTGCTCATGATCCTAAGCATACCACCTCATCAGTGATCATGGTGGTGGTAGTGTCATGGCGTGGGCATGTATGGCTGCCAATGGAACTGGTTCTCTTGTATTTATTGATGATGTGACTGCTGACAAAAGCAGCCGGATGAATTGTGAAGTGTTTCAGGAATATTATCTGCTCATATTCAGCCAAATGCTTCAGAACTCATTGGACGCTTCACAGTGCAGATGGACAATGACCCAAAGCAGACTGCAAAAGCAACCAAAGAGTTTTTTAAGGGAAAGAAGTGGAATGTTATGCAATGGCCAAGTCAATCATCTGACCTGAATCCGATTGAGCATGCATTTCACTTACTGAAGACAAAACTGAAGGGAAAATGCCCCAAGAACAAGCAGGAACTGAAGACAGTTGCAGTAGAGGCCTGGCAGAGCATCACCAGGGATGAAACCCAGCGTCTGGTGATGTCTATGCGTTCCAGACTTCAGGCTGTAATTGACTGCAAAGGATTTGCAACCAAGTATTAAAACAGTGCAAGTTTGATTTATGATTATTATTCTGTCCCATTACTTTTGGTCCCTTAACAAGTGGGAGGCACATATGTCAACTGTTGTAATTCCTACACCGTTCACCTGATTTGGATGTAAATACCCTCAAATTAAAGCTGACAGTCTGCAGTTAAAGCACATCTTGTTCGTTTCATTTCAAATTCATTGTGGTGGTGTATAGAGCTAAAAATGTTAGAATTGTGTCGATGTCCCAATATTTATGGACCTGACTGTATATATATATATATATATATATATATATATATATATACAGTTTATTTCCATTTTCAGACATGCATGCAGTTGTTGATATTTTGCCTTTATTATTTTTAACATAGATTTTAATTTTAACTTATTCAGGTGGCAGAGGCGGCAACTGATGACTCTCTAAGGTTGGGTCTGGAGGCGTTGGACACTGGAATATTAACAATAGTTCCCCCAGCACCCAAGCCTAAGGCAGCAGAACCAGAACCAGAACCGCAAAAGGAACCTGTAAAGATCCCTATGCCACCCACAAAGCCAAATCCTCCACCAACTACAGAGACTACCGCTCCTGACACTGTAGACGGTGAAGTTCAAGCACCTAAAGCACCAGCTCCTCCTCCAAAAAATCTTAAAGAAAATGTTTATGCTCGTGAGAAGCTAATGTCTGAAAATGAACAGACTAGCATGGAAGAAAATCCAGCATTTAATGTTCTTCAAAGCGAGAGCACAGAAAATCTAAATGAAGTGATGAGCTCTCCTCCCAAACCACCTCCTAAAATTCTTTCTGACAAAATGAGGATTAAGTGGGTCGGTTCAGCATCAGACTTGGAGGAGAAAGAGGACATCATGGCGGACGAGAGAGGAAGCAAAGAGAACTTAGTTGAGTTTGAGTCTGATGATCTGGAAAACCCATCAGTCCCACATCAAGTAGAGTCATTAGAAGACTTACGAACAGAGGAATTAAGAAGTCGCTCAAATAGCCTTCAAGATGAATGTAAGAGGGTGTCCCAATATCTGAATGACGAGGACACAGATGAAGGAGCTCTTCAGGGGACATCTGCAGATGGTATATGTAACAGCAATAAGGATAAAGACAACAATGAGTTGGAGAAGAACGATTTACCAACAAGTGATGTCCAAGAACAGAATACTACACAACCAATTGATGAGAAGAAGTTCCGATACATAAAACATAAAAAGAAAACTGGCCATGTGACAATGCAAACACATCACATTAAAAGTCAAATGAAAGCATCTTCCATGGGAGACCTCTTATCTCCAACACCAGATAAGGATAGCACTGTGCTACATCTAACTAAAGACCACTTAGATCAAGTGGAGTTGAAGCTAGCCTGTGGAAAGGAGAGAACAAAGACTCTGCTAAACCAGATTTTGAAAGGACAACTTGGAAAGACTGCAGAAGAGAATGGGGTAGAGTTTAATCCAGAAACCATTCTAAATGATCTGATGACCCAACTTCAAGAAGCTTCTGAGGTTCTTCAAGAGATAAAGGAGAAGGAGCCTAGAAATATCTCAAACACATCAGATGTAGGGACTGAAAACCAGAAAGAAAAGAATAAAGAACTATTGGCACTGCAAAGGAGAAGTGTTCCATTTTAGTAAATGTTTAGAAAAGTTGAAAAAAATGAAGATATAATGAAATGCAAACTGCTTTAGCACTTTACTCTTTAAGATCCTGCTGTCACAGCTTGAGGACCAAACTAGCTAAAGTTCCTGTAAATCCAATATTTTTGCAGTAAAGAAATCTGTTATGTTTTTTACTGTATATTATGAGATCTTCTGAAGACTCTGAGGGACTAGAATGCAAAAGCCAAGATAAAAAGAAACTTGAAATAAATAAATGTAAATATACTGTATATAGAAAAAACACCCTCAGGCCTGCTGAAGAAAACAGCTCAAAGAGCTATGATGATGTGCAAAGTGTAGCCATCAATAACAATTATTTCAGTCTACTTGGAATAGATCAGCAAAATCTGAAATCTGATTTCTTCCTGTGGGTTACTATATTTGAGCCTTATTTCAGAAGCTTGTTAGTGCCTAAAGATTCCATGTTTATGTAAAAAAAAAAAAAAACAATAAAACTATTGGTAATCACAAAACATAAAATTATTTATAGCCGGTTTTTAAATTTTGGATAGACAGGAACTGTCCGGCTTTTTTGCAGTTTTGTGTCTCATTGGGGAAATGTCCATTCCAAAAACAGAAAAGGGTATTAAAGGAGAAGTACAGCCAAAGCTCTTTTGGCTTTGCTTCTCATGTGGATCATAGGAGTGAAGTTCGTTCTGCACTCCTGTGACCCATTTGCAGCTGACAGTGGACTGAAGTCTACTGTCGGTTGACGTCACTCTGGGGAAAGATGCTGACTTCACAGTCAGTATCCACTCTAGAATCTGGAACGGCACCTAGTTTAGCTTCTCAGCAAAGCGCTGAGAGCCTAAGCCAGCCGCTTCCTCCCCCTCCACAGCCCAGGGCTCCAGTAAGCACTGGGGGGGGGATGAGCAGAGAGCAGTGACTGACAGTCCCACTCTCTGCTCAGAGCGGACAGAACTCAGTGATCAGTGGTCATGTGATTGCTGAGTTCTCACCCTTAGAGCCGGTGGTGGACAGATGAAGCATCAGACCAATGCTTCATCCACCTAGGCAGGGGCGAACTGACAACTCATGGGGCCCCCGGGCAATAGGGGATCATGGGGCCCCTGTGTCCTCGCCCATACCAAAAAAGCCTATGAAAAAAGACAATGAAAGGTACCAGGGGCATCTCAAGGGGCCCCCTACTATGGGGCAGTGCCCGAGTGCTCGAATAATCAGTCCGCCCCTGCATCTAGGTAAGTATAATGGGGGGAAAAAAAAACAACCCCATACTTCTCGTCCAAAGAAAATCTCTCCCAAGTGAAGGAAAATCTCCTCTTAGACAGGTTTCACTAGAACAGGATTGCACACTAGAAGATTTCTACTCACTTCCTGTTCAAGTGACAATTGTAATGTATTAGATTTCTCTCACTGTTTGTCCCGATGATGACAATGGCCACCAGGACAAATAGGTTAAATCTCCCCAGTGGAAAAATATGACTGGGGTTCTACACCTTCCACACTCTATCCTAGCTAGAAAAAAAAAAGATTTGTTGTAGGTACCCATTAAGCCAGGGTTTCTCAACCAGGGTTCCATGGAACCCTAGAGTTCCTTCAAATGTTGCTAGGGGTTCCTTAAGCAATTTCTGCCTCTCAGATAAATTCCCATGGACATCATCGTTTTTTTTTTTATCTTTCTGTAAGGGGGTAATTCTTCCCAATGTCCACAAGTGTAAGGAGCATTCTCCTTCCTGGTCATCACACTAATGTACTGTATCAGGAGCTGAAGATATAGTAATTTTTAGTAGGGGTTCCCTGAGACTGCAAAGTTATTTCAAGGGTTCCTCTGTGTTGAAAAAGTTGAGAAAGGCTGTTTTAAGACAATACACAATTATTTTGTTAAAATAGCACCTGAAAGTGGCTGAGATATATTAGGGAGCAAGTGAACATGTTGTCCCTAAAGTTGATGTGTATGACGTGTAAGGATCTGAGCGACTTTGACAAGGGCTAAATTGTAATGTCTAGATGACTGGGTCAAAGCAACTCCAAAACTGCAGCTCTTGTGGGATGTCAAGACCAACCAAAGGTGGTCCAAGGAATGAAAACCGTTGAATCAGCTACAGGGTTAGGGACGGCCAATGCTCATTGATACCAGTGGGGTAATGAAGGCTGTCTGGTATAGTCTGATCTGAAAGAAGCGCTACTGTAGCTCAAATTGCTGAAAAGTGAATGTCAGTTCTGATAGAAAGGTGTCAGAAAACACACGGTATCGCAGTTTTGGTGTGTATGGGGCTGCGTAGTCACAGACCAGTCAGCATGCCCACCTGTGTCCATAGCAAAAAGCACCTACAATGGGCATGTGAGCATCAGAAATGGACCACAGAGCAATGGAAGAAGGTGGCCTGGTCTGATGAATGACATTGTCTTTTACAGTACATCATTTGGATGGTCGGGTGTGTGCGTCACTTACCTGGGGAAGGGATGGTACTAGGATGCAGTATGGGAATAAGGGAAGCCGGTGGAGGCTTGCCTTCAGAGGTCTAGTGAACTCCATGCCTTGACGGCTCAGGGCTGTTTTGGCAGCAAAAGGGGGACCTGCTCAGTATTAGGTAAGGTTATGTCTGTGTATATACTGGGACTGTTGAAAATTATGTCCATTTTGCACACCTAAGCAGCTCATAATTGTCTGAATTGGGTGACAACTTTAAGTCTATGGGGTCAGGCAGGGGGTCTTTTGCATGAAAGTAAAGGTTGGAAAACCAGTATGGATCTTATTGTACCCTTCCAACCTAGGGAGCACAACCTGAACATCTCTTCTTCTGCCCAGATATCTGTCTGCCTTCCCAGTGATTGGTCAGGACTGGTAGAAAGAGAAATGAGACAATGAAAGCTACTTCTAGCCACATGCTATACCTCTTACTTGTTTTGGAACAGCAATTCCAAGTGTCAGACTGGGTTATATGCATGGGTGTATACGTGTGTGGCCATACACACATGCTATAAGCCCACTGGTGGCTTTATTTTCCCATTACAGCTGCTTCTCCCATTACAAAGACTGCTGCAGGGCACCGCCATCTTGGATTTAAAACCAGCAGCCCAGAAGGCTCAGAGATATCACCCAAGTGACACTCAATAGCAGTCACCAAACTGTGACCTATGTGCCTGGTGTGGCCCTTTGCTTTTTTCCACTGTTCCTCCCACTGATATGAGGCACTATACCTCCCACTGACACCAACAGTGGGACACCATTCCTTCCACTGGCCACTCTTCAGCCCCCCTAAAGTCTGAAGGACAGTAAACTGACCGCCTGTTCAGAAAGTTTGGGGACCCCTGCTGTATAGTATTTACCTTCATTCCTGCCTTAATGCAAAGGTTATGTAGGGAGGTGAGGGGTGGAGATGCTGGGTCAGCACAGACAGTAAATAGACACTCCTAGAAGAGGAGAGGGTTGTGACAGTAATTTGTACTAGGGAAATGACTCTCCTGGAGTAGTCAATGATTATAGTAAAGCATTATGTATCTATCATGTCCACCACTCAACTACAGTTGGGTCAATGATGTAGCAATGGTCCTAAAATACTTGTTACGTATTATTGAGGAAAGCTGTATGTATGTATCCTGTCCACAAATCGATTACAGCCTCATGGACATCTAACAAACCCTTTCACATTAGACTTGCGAGATTTTGAATTGAAAAGGGCATTCTTCACCGCAATACTCTTGTTTGGTTAATGCTGCTTAAAGTAGTTTCAGCAAATGCTTGCTATAGAGACAATTGCACCCTATTATAAACAGTCACCCCTTGCCTATTACTGGTCATACCTAAAATACTTGAGAAGCCATGTATTCAAAGAGTAAGCAGGACCATACCTTACTTAACGTAAGTCTTTCAGCATTTCAAGTCATGGTAGCAAGAAGCATGATAATGTCCAATGCGGAGGATTAACCACTTAGGTTTCACAGTTTAAGCAGCTTAACCCCTTTACGCCGGCCGCACACAAATGTGCAGCTTCCCAGCATCTGGGCCTAGACGCCGAGCAGCCGCACATTTGCGTTCATGTAAAAAAAAACATATGTGCTGAGAGCGCGCGCCCTGTGCGCTCCCAGCACACATGTCCGGTACTCATGCAAAGGTCCCGGTCTGCTCTTTCGATCGGGACCTTTCCTGATCATGTGACCGCTGTGCCGACGCGGTCACATGATCCCTAAACCACACCCCACCCGCCCCGCCTCCCGGCGTCTGAAACTCTTAAAGGGCTGGGAGGCGGCGGCGAAAAGGGGTTAAAGGGGACCTTTGGCTAATTGGATTGTTGTATAACCCAAGAGTATTTGCTGTGCTGCCCGCCACCTAGAGGGAGGATAATCCGTTACAAGGCTTACCTTGCTTTCCTTAAGAGGACCTCGAATTATATTTTTATATGCGCATTTCCATTGCGCATCTGGTGAGTGCGTAATTTTACTACACCTACAAGCACTGAAGTAACGTTGCAGTTGGCACTTTAAAGCACAAATTGTCACCTTATGAACTTTTATCATATATTTTATTGTCACTTTATGAACTTTTATCATTTCATTCTAACTTTATTCATTATATCAGAATTACATATTATTGGGTCATATAATACGGATACTTCTTTGATTGTTTTAGCGCTGCACTTTGATTTATGAATTTATTAATTCTTAGAGGGGGGGGGGTTTGTTCCTGAATCCTTTTTTCCTGTGCGTAGAAAAGCCAATTGTAGATATTCTTGTATGTTTCCGTATATGCTGAAACCTTGTATGGAGGACTCCCATTCCAAGCTGGAGATTCAGAATAGCAAAAGTGTGCTCCTTCACCAGGCAGACTCATGTGTTTCAGGGGGACACACCCCCTTCCTCAGAACACTGAGGAAGGAGGTGCATCCCCAAAACACGTAAGCCTGCCAATTCGAGTGACAGTTTGGCCCTGGTGACACCTCCTCACTACTGGATCACTCTACAGTAGTATACATCAGTTGCCTCTTGGCACACCCGTATGTTTTTGGTGTTGG